TCAACAGAATTTTAATTTGGGCTGAAAAGCGATTCAAATTTTTTCAAACTAAAATTTCGACTAGCCCGGATTTAGAAGGCATTCACATGTGTAACATCCATTTTCGTTCAGCTGGTATCCAACCTGACACTTCATTTGACAGCCAGGGGGAAGATTTCTGCATTCATCTGGATAAGAAATGTTTTATATGGGATAACAATATTTTTGGACGTAAGTAAGACTGATCGAGTGTACCCAAATTTTTCTACATTGTTCAAACTTAATATCGTTTTTCCAGTAATTAAGATATTAATTGGACTTTTCAAGTGTACTTACATTTTTAAAATAAATGTATTTAAATTATTAAATTAAATGAAATTTAGTATTAATTGATTTTTTAAAATCTTAAGAGAATTAATGGCAGGTTGACTGGAATGGAATTTGACCTAAACCCTCAAATCACAACGTTTATTTTCTGTTCCATGCAACTATGATTCCGAGTTTATTGAAATTAATCCAAGTAGAATTTGCAAGAGATTAAGCTGTAATTTTAAATATTGAAATTGAAATATAATATAAAATGTTAAAGATGGACAAAACCACCGCTCATAATAATTCTTAAAATATTCGTTGGTCAGACAGTTTTTTATACTTATATATATATTTTTTTTAAAACAGAAAATGTAAAATTCCAAGGAACATGAAAAAATTTGTTTAACAGAGATTAGCGTTGTGTGGGAGTTTGCCATTAGTAGGCCCGACTGTATTTGGTAAGAAGATACATTTGAAAAACTCTTCATTTTATTTAATAATTATTATTCAAAACAGAAAAAACTGTTATATCTTTTGTAATCTAATCAGCATCAATGCAATTCAAAAACCACAGAAGTTTCAGAATATAATTATATTTTCATTGTAATAAATGTCCCAATTGAAACATAACAGCATCTATATTGTTGATGTTTTTTATGAGCACTGGCAAAGATAACATCCCCCTTCAGATATGATGGGCTGTTGATAGCATTTGGAGTCTCCGGCGCAATCAAAGCATTTGCTTTGATCTGAATAGATGTAATGTTGGATGGATGAATGGATGGATGGATGGATGAATGGATGGGTAGATGGATGGATGGATGGATGGATGGATGGATGGATGGATGGATGGATGGATGGATGGATGGATGGATGGATGGATGGATGGATGGATGGACTGCCTGAAATAAAATTTGTGCTTAAATGTGATTCAAAATGTTCACAAATTAATTCAAACCAGGATTCAATTTGCATGCACATATGCTGCACCCGTTTTCGTCTTGTTGGTATCCAAAAACACAATTCGTTTGACATTCAGAGGAAGGAATTTCCTCACAGACGCCTGAATTTTAGGACAATTTTTTGGGATAGTAGTTATACTGATCAAATGTGTCTAAGTTTTTTTTAAATGGAATAAAATCTTTTAAGTTTTTTGAACCTTTGTTTGATTTTTCAAGTTCATTTAACATATTATGCTATTAATGTATGGTAAAGAAACTGCTATATAAAGTTTAAACACTTGAAAGAACTTTAATAACAAATATAATTTCTAACTTTTATATGGTGAACCAACTGACAAAGCCAGCATGACAGTTAAACAGGTCGGAAGAAAAAAATTCATCTTTTAAGTACGTTGTAACAATTTATTTTGTTAATTCTTCTGGTGTGCTTACGAATGAATATCATTTGAAACGTTTCACAAGATTTTATTTATACACAAGATACGATGTTTAGATCGAATTAAGAAAACAGTGATGAAATAAACAATTATTGAGAAATGGCACAAAAATTCAACTTTAATTAGATCCTGGTTCTATTTCATAGCTTGTGTACAGAATAGAATATTTATCACTGAGATTCCACTTATTCATCTGAATCACAAAAATTTCCGCTATAGTTTAACCATTTTATTAAACTATTAAATTGTTTGTTTTATTAAACTATTAAATTGTTTGTTTTAATAGTTTTATTAAACTATTAAATTGTTTGTTTTAATAGTTTTATTAAACTATTAACTTTTTATGAGAAATTAGTTGACTTTCTCGAAATCTCTTATCGAATATGTTTATGTTGCTGTTGTTGTTGTGTAGACGCTTTAAAGGCACCTCAGCTCCCAGCCCCGGTGCTATGACGTTCCATTGTTAGTTTCGTTTAATAGGAGTGGATTGTCAAACACATATCATAATATCCTAAATCTTTGATGAAGTTTTTAATGGTTTTAAAATTGTCAGAGAGATTTTCAGATATAGAATGTTTCAGCTTTATAACTATCAGGCTCGACTCGACAGTGCTAGCAATGCAGTAAGGCTCTTGACGAGAACTATCACAGACGGCACAATCCGGTTCATCTGGTAGATGTTTTAATAAATGATTAAATAAACTAATCAATAGATTGTTAAATGGATGGATAGCTCGATAGTGAAAAAAAATAATAGATGGGTGAATTGAAGAATGACTGGATGAATGAATTGATGGATAAATAAAATGACTGATAGATGTTTGAATGGACGAATTAATGAGTAATAGATAATGAAATACAGGTGACCGATGTAATAAATACTTAGATGAGTCTAATGTGACGGATATATACGTATTTATTGATGTGTTTCAGTTGCTTATATACGTCAATGTTTTTTAGTTATCCACGGGATACTATGTTCAGATTGGGTTGGGACAGTGACACAGAAGTAACAATTACTGAGTAATGACACCACAATTTCAACTTTAATCAGATCCTAGTTCATTCAGTTTCTGTATTATGTGTACGTACAGCATATCTGTCATTGAGATTCCACTTAACCATTTGAAACACTAAGTTTTCAGTTACAGTTTAAAAAGTTGTAATTCAGAGCATGTGATGAACTCTACTAGGAGAGAAATTATTTGAATTTGCTCAAAATCTCTAATTGAATAAGAAAAAAATAAATGAAACTATTTAGAGAAAAATTGCGAGCCGAATGTGACAAAACATAATGGTGACAAATTTCTAAAATCTAATATTTTATAACAAAAATTTGAAAAACTCTTCACTTCATTCAAAAATAATTATCTAAAACAGAAACAAGTTCATCCCTTTTGTAGTCTAATGATTGTATGTAATTTTGTGGGGAGAAGAGCTATTCAGCGGTTCATCAAATTTGTCCATCAGCTATCATATTTCTACGAAAAATAACAATTTGTAGACAAGGATTTAAAAACTAATAAAATGTATAAATTTAAAAAGTGCCGTCTTTGAGCTATTTTAGTTTTAATTTAATTGAAATTTCAATGAAAGCTTGAATGAGCAGGTCTTATCCATATTTAAGAATTCAATGAAAAACTTAAAACAGCCCATACTGTTAACAAATGTAGGCCTACATTTGATAATTATCCCCTAGTCACAACAAATATCACAAAATATGAAAATCATTTGAACTCACTTCTTAGAAATTATTTATTTTGTTTTCATTGTTATTTAATTTAAGCCAAAATTGTGCTTCACAACTTATTATAAACATTTCCAGAGAATAACAAACATTTTCACTTGAACTCGTATAACTTGATAAAGAAAAGATTTTGAAGAGTTACTAATTAACAGACGTAGTAGTACCCCTACATAAAAAAATTATTAAAGGATGGCTTTCATCATTGTTGTATATTTTTAGCAGGTTTATTTATCTTAATATATCAACCATAATCTATAAATCAACATGAAAAAGATACAAAAGAGATTGTAGCTTTAAACTAAATGTAATTATCATAAAAATCAACCGTTAAAGTCTGAAAACAAGATGTAAAGTATTAAACTTGTTTAAACCAGTAAACTATGACAATAAAAAAAAGTAATAAAACATTTGAAAAACCAAGATAAAAAGTTTTGCAGACTCTTGCATGCTTGCGTAGGTCTGCACCATTGGACAGCGTGATGGCTTAACGGTTAAAGGCGCCTGGCCATGCTGTTGCAACGACCGGGTTCGAATACAATGAGATTTTCGCCTATCATAGGCAATGTGTTTGATGCTTGATTTTTACGCGTATTCACATAAACTGTATGTATTTGTCGTTGAAACCTCTGAAACAAGTTCACTAGAGAGATTGATTTTCAACCTTAACCTTTTAACAGTAACTTGCTGAACCTATGATGTGTGTTATTATTTGATTTAAATTCTTTGTGTTATTAACCACACCTGTAGGTTTTAAGTAAGTTACTTTGAAAGAAATTGTTAAATTTTATTATTATAGAGTGAATCAAGCTTTTTACTGAAACATTTCTGAAATATTCTATTCATTGCAATACCAACATATTTTAAGGTATTGCCGGTATCGTCAGTAATTCAGTGGTGAATCAAATATTAGCCAAAAGTGGCTCCGAGTTATAATGAAGCTAAGAAGAAACAAACAATTCTATGCAAATTCTTCTCACTTAAATTAAATTAATTATTTATCAATATTTATTGATTCAATTTTAATTATGGCTTACTTCTCAGTCATGAAAGAGAGAGCTATTAACGATTCTAATCGCTTGCTGTATATTACCAAAATGATATAAAATGCTTGCTAATTTTTAATAGGAGCTACCATAAACTTTTAACATTTTTTAAATTGTAGGTTTTTGTGGCAACAAATTTTTTTGAAACAACTACATGCAGTTTTCCACCAACTCATCGACGGCTTATTTTAGGATTGAATTGACAAACTCTCTTTGGGTTGAACGTGCATTTCTCTACGTTGAAGTGTTTTGTAAATAGAAATATTGACGGAACTGGTTCGTGTGATGAATGTCGTCATTTCTATTCGCTCCTTAGATTCTATTCATCGAAAAATAATTTTTCAAATAAATTCAGTTTCATGGCTAGTTTTTGTTTGATTTAAACATAGGAGTTAAAAATTTAAGTTTAGGTTAATCATTTGCTTTGAATTTAAAGCTTTCAAATGAATAACTGTGAATTAAACTAATCCTGGGAAAAATTATTTAAATTTCTTGAATAGAAAAAAATTTGTGGTGAACGATGAAGCCAGAAGTACGGAGCCGCATTATGTACCTCAGCGATCCTCAGTTCCACATGGATGCCAACAAGTTAACCAGCCCCTCAGTCGCCGAATCTTTCAGAAAATTCATTGCTGACTGAAAATAAACAATTTTCATTTACTAAAAGAAGATAGTTTCGTACTTAAAATTAATGTTGAAATTATTTTTGTAAGTTATTAATTGAGCTTCATTTAGCGACAGTAATTAAAGCTTTCACTTAAATATAAATCCGTACTTGTGTATGTGAACGTATGTTTGTATATGTATGTGTGTATTGTGTATGTATTGTGTATGTGTGTGCGTGTGTGTGTGTGCGTGTGTGTGTGCGTGTGTATGTTGTGCGTGTGTGTGTGTGTGTGTATGTGTGAATGTATTTGTTTACTCGTATGTACACAAGGAGTGTTGATTAATGAGGGGTACAAACTATGTTGACTCGTTCAATGTTGTTTTTGAACTGGAATCGTTGTCAAATATTTAAATTAATAAATTTAGTTTTCGTAATGAAACGGCTTAAAATTATTTAAAATTGCTCCTACTATCTTGATAATATTTCCCAAAGTCATATCGGAACTGAAAAAATTGTTATCCTGCTCTGGTGTTTCGTCGTCTTTGAAAATGAATAGCTGGGTTATAACATTACTTAATGGCCTTGCAATCTTCTTGATTGTCTTAGCGGTTTTGGCTTTTGTGTGAGTAAGAGATTTTCAATTTTCTGATTTTTGTAATAAATAAACGAAAAATGTAAACGTAAAATATTTGCAGTTTTTATTTAATTTGTTGAATAAAACGACATATTTGTGTCTATTCCCTTTAGTTGTTGATGTAGTAATAAATTCGATGAAATTTGTGAACAAATAAATAATTGAACACCTATTTAGAATATGGTTTATCTACAGACTGATAATAAGCAGGGCACTCTGTGAACTCACCCAACAGAATAGGGCAGACAATGTACCCATGCTACTAGGAGCGCCAGTGGGAGGAGACGAACACGAAAGATCTCGAGAAGATTTCCCTTCAGACGATAATAACAACCCAGGAAGTTTAGCAAATTTCAATATCCGACGATACTACAAAAGAATAATTGAACCGCCATCTGAAAATATTCCATTAAGCGTAAATCGAAACGAAAATTCGCAAGACAGAAGTAACTTGGAAAATATTTCCCAAGAAGGTAACTCACCAACTGATTCGTTTTTAATACATCCATCAGACCTGTCTTTTCAAGATCCATCAGAACCAACACAAAGTAATAATGAAAGTTTGAATGATTCTTCTGATTTCCGCCCGCCATCTACATCGCTTGATATTGTTGCCAGTGCACCTGCTATCTTGGCTGCTACGGCTGCTGCTTCTACTGCTGCAGCTACCACCGACTCTAATGATGGTAGCGCTGGTAATCTGAAAAATACAACAGACAAATCTGAGATGCCGTTGAAACGTAGCAGTAGTTTAAACAGGATCTTTCCAGAACCACCTCTCGATTTGCGACAGAGGAATACCTATTAACTCAACATTTGACATTTGCATGAATGATTTTTTTATTTGATGTAATGAATCACATTTTGATTCGTTTTTTATTCTATATTTGTGTATTTTATTTGTGAATATTTAATTTACGTATTGCATATTTTAAAAGGTTCAATTTGTCATTAACTGTGCTCCCATTATCATCACTTTAAAACTTATAATTAGAAAAAAATTAAGTGCGTCTGTCATTTTTCAAGTTTTTTAAAATTTTTAAAATAACTAATATTTAAAAAAAATTGTCATTTTAAACTAATTTTGAGCCAACAATTTTAAATCTAAACTAATTCTTTGTAACATGTATGTGAAATACTCTTCAGCTGATTTAATAAATATTAATTCAAAACCGAAATATTTTCATCAATTTTGTACTATGAACATTGTATCAGCGTCAAAACATTTCAAAATAGTTAACGTTTCATTGTTATTTATCCATCCATCCATTTATTTATTTATTAATTAATCAGTTAATTAATTACCTGAAATTAATGTCACAATTTTATAACATGAAAACAACTTTTTATCGTTGGAATGTTTCAAGCGCACACACACGCCTGACATCCATTTTCCATGACCTCAGGTAGCTTCCAGCAGTAAGGATCGCCACTACAATCGATGCAATTGCTTTGGTCTGGAAAGATGTTTTGTTGGACGGATGGTTGAATTGACAGATGAACAAATTGACAAATTTATTAGATAATAGACAAATTAAAAGATAAATTAATGGATACTTGAAATGATGAATGAATGAACTGATGGATGGATGAAATGATGAATGAATGAACTGATGGATGGATGAATTGATGAATGAATGAACTGATGGAGAGATGAAGTGATGGATGAATGAATTGACAGATAGATTAATGGATGGAAGATTTGCATTCAGAGCGGTACTTTTACTTAAATCCATTTGTACATGTGAATTTTTAATAACTTGCCTGTAGAATATTTTAAAAAAGATTTTTCAAGTTTTCAACATTCATTATAACATTGACGTCTCAACTCTTACCGCTGTAATAACTGTCTACCAAAATTTAACAATGCCGAAGTATGTCAGTCGGAAAATACATAGAAAAAATCTGATTTAAAGTTTTTACAAAGTAGAATATAGCCAAACCAGGGTTCAGGTTGCAATCCCATGTGGGACATCCACTGGCGTCCAGTTTGTTCCCAAACTGGCAAGCTCCAAATTCACGTTGTGAACGATCCAGGGTGCATGGAGCTGCGTTATGGGTATTGTTTTCGGTGGGATGAACTTTATTGAGTTAATAATTTTTTGATAAAAATATCAAAAATTTCTAACAATAATGTGGCTCATTCGATATATTTTACATTTACTAAATGTATTTACTTTTTTAATTTAACATAATCTCTTTGTAACCTTAATGAAATCTACAATAAATTTTCTATTTAATGTAATGTACATTTAGTAAATCGACTTATGACTTTGGAGCATTTAAAAATAAATATTAAAAATTACTAAAGTTAACTTCTCGCTTACTTTTCTTGGGAGAAACGACAGCCAGCATCAACGCGACAGCCAAACTGACCGCGAAAATAAAATTCATCACTGAAGCACTTTAAAAACAAGTTTTTTATCTTATGCCACTATCTTTCATAATAAATTTACTAATAATTATGGTCTAGAGTGTATTAAAATGAATTATTAAGGTGTGTAACAATGGTGCAACTTGAATTCTGGGCACCCGATGTTCCAGTTTTACATTTAAAAATTTTTTTTTGTTAACTTTAACGGCATTTCAGCTCCTCTTTTTTTTAATTAGCATTGGGTAGAAAACAATTGTACTGTAGATTTTTATAATTTAAAAAAAATTGGTACTACAACTATCTGTCGGAAAATTAATGTGACGTTATTTTTATACTAATTTAGAAAAATTATTTTAAAAATTATTTTAAAAACTGAGTTATCTAAACCTTTTTCCATAATAATAATTTTTATAATATAATAATTTTTGTATAGTGTAACATTATTTTATATAAATTCAGGTAAAACTGTGAGTCTTTTTTTGACGACTTTTAGAGTAGCTAAAATGCCCCTCTTAAAATGTTCCACCCTGGACAGACTACCCATCACTACCCCCCCCCCCTAGTTACGCTACTGCTGTACATAGGCACACGAATAAGTTTAGGAATTACAATAACAAAGTTAAATTTCATTAAATAAATTAATAAACTAAATGTTAATGTAACCTATCAGAGCAGTATTGAGCAGTATCAATGAAGTTCGACAACCAAACTGGTTCTTTTAAACCTATTGTGTTATTTATCAGGCTCTCTTTCTTTTCCTCTCTCTCTCTCTTTCTCTCTCTCTCTCTCTCTCTCTCTTTCTCTATTTCTCTCTTTCTCTTTCAGTTTTTTTCTTTCTCATTGATTTTTTCTGATTACTTTGTTTAAATCTCTATGGTAAAGCAATACAAAAATTTTTTTTTTGTTTATAAGATGTAACTCGTAAAACTTTCCATTTTAATTACATTATTATAGATCAAATTTGAAATTACCAAAAAAGTGAAGTGCATATAATATTAATTAATTAATTGATTAATTAATTAATTAATTAATTAATTGATAAATAATAAATAATTACATAAAGCAGAAAATTGCAGGCTATGGATGGCAACAGCTTGTTTTATCATATTGAGATGTTCTTTTCATAATAATTGATTTTCAATAAGAACTACAACGTCAAGCCAGATACTGAGGCAAGTAGCATCAAATACGTCGGCGTATCTTTTCAAATTTTGCAATATGAAAATCAGCAGGCAAATACGAAAGGTGAGAAGTCTTTTTTTTCTCTCAAAGATTCCTAATGAAGTGTGTCGGCGGATATATATTTGAAAATTTTTTTCAATGAATTTCATCCAAAATACAAAAAAAAAATTGTTGGTTAAACTTTTTGCTTGATAAAATTTACAAGTTGAAGACATCGAAAACCGGATAATGTTTTAAATCTATGTTAACTAATAGTATAATTTATTTTAAACACTTTTTCATTTATAACACCAAAACACTATTCTAATTTTCAGTTTGCGTACGTATGTTACAATGCAGTTTCAATGTAATATTTGAATAAAATTTAAGAATATAACTCCATTCGTCATAAAATTAGCAATTTGAAAGACAACTAAGCAACATACACTGTTTCAAAAATGTAATCAGTGTAATAAAAAAATTATCACCGGTGAATAGTAACTTTTGTATCCGCAACAATTCTGATTGTAAAACACATCAAAACCAACACTTTTTCAGAATATTTATAAAATTAACATCGTTTAAAAATTGCTCTCTAACACCATCCCTGTTTTTTATGCAATCGGCAAAGTTAAAACGAACTCTTTGAAAGACTTTGAACACGAATAACTCGCCTGTAATTTCCCACAATACTCAGAAACTCATCCAAATGAAAAAAATTGACGATGAGTTTGTTGTAATGTCTATTTCTAACTTTATATTTTGCAGTTGTCTTGCATGTAAAGACAGTGGCGAATCTAGAGGGACAGAGAGCCAGTGCCAGTCCCGCTGTCAGCGGTAGACCTATTCGTAATGAAAGTCAGTAAAACTCATTTTTTGACAGAAAATTCTACAAGTGGAAGACATCATTCGTTTTATGTCCGAAAATCGGCCAAAAACGGACGTGATAAGGAAAAAAAGGTCTTCAGCTCACAATATTACAAATCTTGGCCTCCCTTGAAAATGTATACATTTTCAAAACCCCCCCCCCTTCCTTTTCAAAGTTGTCTAGATTCTCCTCTGTGTTAAAGAATGCGGTTCCTCCTGGCTGCTTTTAAAGAACTTTTCAAAGTTAAACTGTAGAATCAAGTTTAACAGATGCACAGCTCACAAGAAATGGAGAGTAAGTAAAACCAAGAAATGTTCTCATTTAGTTGATAAAAGGAGTTGTTAATAATTTAAATTAATTTTTAAAAACTTCTAGCAACAACTTCGATTTTTGGATTCATTAATTCAAATTTATTTTAAACGCAAAGAGCAGAACATTTGAAATTACATTTTGACAAAAAGTCAGTTTTACATGCCAGGCCAATTCTATCTTAACATATTACTTATTAATTGTTAAAGTTACATACAGTCACTATCCTTGTTTTCTGGCTCACATTGAAAACACAGGGACGGCGTAAAAATTTATCTCGGCTTCACGAAATCTTTCTAAAAATGGACTGCCCATCGTTTACTCAAACAACATTCGTATAGTTATCTAGTTTTAAAAATTAACTTCTATTGAATAATTACTCTCTTTTTCGTAAGGATTAGTTAGCTTGAAAATAACAAAATTATAAAGTTTTTTAAATATTGAGAATCTGCAAGTTTAAAGTCCCATAGTCTAGGCTTTTGTATGTATGCATCAAGTATTCATGTATAACATACCAGACGTTTGCATCGGTTTGTGCTGTAAGCTGACAATGGGAATTCGAGTCGATCACCTTTCTCTAGCCTCGTGATTGTCACATGATTAGTGAGTGAAAGTTTAGGTAATATTTTTTTCTACTGTTTAGATCACGTTTGTATAAATTAATCCATTGTTTAGGTCACGTCAAAACTCGAAAATTAAACAAAATTATTGATAACAACTTGCTACTTTGTTATAATATAAATTTTTTGGTAAATTATATTTTCCACTATTTTTATTTATATCAGAGTTCATAGTTATGCAATTTTGGACAGATGATTGTGATAACGGACTTTCAAATTTAAAAACAATGTTAAATATCAAAAGAACATCATTTTTTCTTTTGGAATCATCTGATGCGTTCAAATCAAGTCTGTTCCAAAACATGAATGATAATTATTATTACGAACAAAACGACCAAATTTTTTTTTTAAATTAAATTATCTATTGATCTAAAAAGTCATAAAAATTGAAAACAACTGCTTTTACCACTTTCTTATTATTATTTCTAGCATCTGTAAATATAAACGATGTTCAATCCACGAATCGAAAGAGATTT